GAGAAGTAACCATCAATATTTCTTTCATCCCCTTCTACCGCCTGGTGGCAAGCGATATGCGCCCATAGATCATTGGCATTCTGTACATGGCGGGTCCCGATACGCCAGGGGCAGCACCCGATCAGGTTCTTCTCTATCACCGTGCCCTTAGATCCCATCCTCGTCGCCATGTCTCGGACGGCCAAAGCTGACTCAAGGCGATTTAATAATTACTGGTTCGTTGGGCGGGCTGGTGAATAGAGAGGCAGACAAGGCTTAATTGGTTGCAAAACTTTACTTACGCTGCTTGTAGCTGCGATGCTGACGGTCCGGTCGTATGAACAACTATGTTAGTTGTTCCAGCTGGCAAGGCTCAGGCTAGCTCATCCGTCCACAAATCAAGCCGGCGGGACAAGGGTAGGTCAGGGATTGCGCTCGGCGACGGGGAGAAGAATCGATAGGTGATCAGTCTATCGATCAGCTCAGCCGCAAGTTAGATCTCTTTTGAGGCACTCTGCAGCGTGCTCAAAGTTCTCAGACTTGGGCGGAAGTCGCACGAAATTTTAAACGGCCAGCAAGCCAATTCCCAGCCGCCACGTAGGAATAAATTTAGAACTAGCCAATAGCGGGACACAAATTTGCATTCGAATGGCGGGAACTCTCTTGCACCGGGGTTTTCTGCTGCAACAGAAAACCTTTTACTTTGCAAGAGGCTCTCATGGGGCGGGAAAATTCCATCGTGCCAAGGCACCAAAATCACTGGGTTGTGACAGTGACCTGCTAAAAGTAAGTTTAGTGAGGATCCAAAAGAGCCCACGAGAAAGTTAGCAACTTTGTTTTCAGACCAGCATTCAGATAACTGCATTCAGTGCAGTTAGCATCGTTTCAGACTTATGATGAAAAATTTCAAACTATTCAGTGCATGGGATGCATGCGGGGTCAAATCAAATCACTGCTAACTGCGCTGGTGCAATACCTCGGCACCAGAGACTAGTGCAGTTTAGCTTCACTGGTCCAAAAAAACAAAAAACAAAACACAAAACAAAAAAAAACTCAAAGCAAAACACAAAAACCCCACGTACACTTCAAGTAGATGAGCCCCCTCCCACCTCTCAGCAAGTTTCAGTGGCTGTTTACTTAAAAGAATCCAAGGCACTGAACCCAGGGTACAGGGGTGTTTCTGTTAATGCTTTCAGGTATGCTGCCAATAGAGACCTTCTCTGCCTTAGTTCAAGTATTCACACGCACTGTATTTTATAGACATCCAAGCACAAGGCACATGTGGAAGAAAATGGGCAATTTGCTACTCTTTTAAGAGTGCTGGTAAAGTTGGGATCTGAAAGATGGGATGGAGTAAACCGTCAGCAAGTCTGCAGATGACACCAAGCTGGGGGGAGCAGTAGGTATGTTTGAAGGTAGGGCTAGATTAAGAGAGACCTGGGGGGGGGGGGGGGGGAAACAAAAACACACACACACACACACACACACACACACACACACACACACACACAAACAAAAAACCCCCCAAAAAACAAAGAAGGGAGGACTGGATCAAAATAAGTCATATGAAGTTCAATAACGACAGGTGCAAAGTCCAGCACCTGGGACAGAAGAATCCTGTGCACCAGTACAGGCTGGGGACTGACTGGCTAAGCAGCAGCTCTGCTGCACCTGGGGGGTTATAGTGGACAACAAGCTGAATAGCAGTCTTCACAACAAAGACTCGTAAGAGCGTACTGGGATGCACTAGGAGGAGTGTTGCCAGCAGATCGAGGGAAGTGATTATTCCCCCTGTATTCAGCACTGCTGAGGCCAGATCCGGAGTACTGTGTCCAGTTTTAGCACCACCCTCCCCCACTACAGAAACGATGTAGACAAATTGGAGAGTCCACAGAGGGCAGTGAAAATGGTTAGTGGGCTGGGGCACATGACTCACGAGAGACTGAGGGAAATGGACTTATTTACATCTGGAGAAGAAGAGTCTAGGATCTAATAGCAGCAACAAGTACCTGAAGGGTGGTTCCAAAGAGAATGGAGCTGGACTGTTCTCAGTGGTGGCAGATGACAGAACAGGCACAATAGTCTCAAGTTACAGCAAGGGAAGTTTAGGGGAAAAAAAAGAAAAAAAAACCCAACAACAACAAAAAACCTCAAAGAGGGTAGTAAAACACTGACACAGGTTACCCAGAGAGGCTGTGGAACCTCCATCCTTTGGAGGTTTTTAAGACCCAACCAGACAAAACCTTGGCTGGGATAAGATAGTTGGGGATGGTCCTGTTTGAGCAAGGGCCTGAACTAGATGGCCTCCTGAGGTCCCTTCCAACCCTAATTTTCTATGAAGTTCAGAATTCAAACACCCCTGGCCCTAACTTACCTGCAGCACAAAGCATGATCAAATCTTTATTTGCTAAAACTATGCATGTTTTAGGACTGCAATTTAAAAAGATACTTTCCCCCCCTCCACAGTCACAATGAGAGCTAGATACATTTTAGAAATACTTAAGACTGAAAATCCTTACTCTACTGTGCTTACCAAACTTTCAGACATCTGCTAGTCTAATTAAAAAACAAACAAAAATACCAAACACTCTAGATACATTTCTCATAGACACTGTGCTGACAAGCAAACTGCTCTTATGAAATACACTACAGGCAGCTAGATAAAATGTGAGATAGAGTTAGCACTTACTCAGCCACAATATAGTATACAGTGCAACAACTTCATTAAAAAAAAAAAAATAAATAAATAAATAAATAAATATCAGGTAACATTAATAATTACTGTTGACTTAATTGTGCAATACATTGGAGGAATGAGATTCAGTTACTAACCTCAGCTCTGTTTTCCTGTCTAGTCCAGCAAGAAACCTCACAATTTGTTGGCAAAAGCCATAGCACATGAACAGAACAGAGTTTTCTGCTATATTGGCTACAAGTGCTGGTGTGGTTCCCTTATAGAAGCCTCGAAATCCCACTTGTTTATAGGTCTTCACAAAACAGTCGACGAGTCCTTTATACATGCTGGGAAATGTCTGCATCTTAACCTTAGCTGTGTCAAAGGGCTGGCCTGTCACCACACATGCCGTCCCACCTGAGGAAAATTTCAAGATTCAACAGCACTTTAATGATCACATGGACAAATAGCCTGCCGAAGGCAAGTATGAAATAAACCTGTTGAGGAAAAAAAAGTCATGAAATATGCAAGAGGGGACAAAATCACTGCTGGCATAAGACAGACACATTTTTCACTATACTAGTGAATTTAATTCTCAGAATACTACTGAAGAAAGTTACAGAAGTACAAGTGACAACAATGAGGACCAGATTATAATAAAAACAAACAAGTATCAAATAAATTAGAGTTTGGTCTCCAGTGCTTACATGTAGATGCTGGATGCCTAAAAATCTAGGTAGCTCACCCCCAGAGGGAAATCGAATTTGACCTGCTGCATGTGATTAGGCTCATAGACAGTCAGTGGGGAGGACTTGGGTACCTCTGGAGAATGACTTAATTTAACCAGTTTAGGTGCCTCAGCGCTCCACATAAAGCATGGCAAGAGGAGGCGCTTCCTAGCAGTGACCCATGAAGATGCATCAAAAGCTAGCCAATAGGAAGCAGTAGCATGGGTTTGCCCAGGTTCTCAGCCCTGTCCAGAGCTTTGGTGCCAACCTGAACAGGCACCTTTGTCTCCCACTTCCTGCATGATGGGCTCTAGGCCTTTCCCAGCCTGAAGCTATTCAAACATACACCTCCCCCCACACAGCAAGGAGTGTCTTAGCCACCGGGCTGTAGAAGAGTCAGGGCAATGCAACTCTCCACCTTTCCTTTTGAAGTTGGGCTGATATACAAGAAGGGGCCTCACTGTAGCTTCATGGTTTCAACAGTCCTCAGGAAAAGGAACCCTCTAGGTTCTGATCCCTGCTGCCATGACATTTCTGTTCAAGCTCTCTTCCTCACCCCCCAACCCCAGCTCAGGGGAGCATCATAAGCCCCTTGCTATAGGGTTAACACCAATCCTATGAGGAAAGAAGGAAAGCAAAACAACTCTTGTATTCTTTGCTGCCAATGGCTCAAGTTCAACAGGAAGGGTGAAGGGTGCCACCAGCTGGCCTAAAGCATGGCAGTTAGGACAACATGAAAAATATGGATTTGGGTCAGGCTGAGGTGGGCTTAGACGTCAATCCTTCAACTCCCTTGGAGACCACTCTAACCTACAGGTATTAAAACAAAAGGCAGGCAGTGACACCACCACTGCTTATGAGCCGAGTGTAATGCTTTTGGTGCAAGCAAGGCATATTCAGAGAAGGTTCAACAGGTCACGTCATGAAGACTTTGACATCTCCTCGGGACTAAAAGGGATCAGAAGAACGTTGAGTAGGAGCAAAGCAACCAGGTGGTCAAACGATCACTTCTGAGCATGTTCAGAAGCCCAAGCGTAGGCACCTAGTGAACTCTGCTGTTCCAAATGGAGGTACCACCAGAGTTTTTTGGCTTATGAGGGAGAGAAACTGGATTGTTCTCCAGAGCCTAGCAGTTAAGTTCAGTTTAGGCATCTACAGCATTATACCAAATCATGCCTTTAGTCACTTGCTGTCCTAATACCAACCAAAAATGTATATTCCTTTATTCCTGAAAGGTTTGAATTAATGAGATTTTATGCAACTGCCATGATGCATTAAAAACAAACAAACAAAAAACTATAACAAAAAACCCCAAACACCCAAGAACTACAGGGCCAAATACAAGAAAAGTATTGCTGCCCCTGATCATGTGGGTGGCCCTCCTCTGAACCCTCTCAATGCTGTCCACATCTCTCCTGAAGTGTGGTGCCCAGAACTGGATGCAGTACTCCAACTGCGGTCTGACCAGGGCCACAGAGGGGGTGGAGCTCCTTGGACCTGCTCGAGATGCATCTGTGGATGCAGGACAAGGTACGGTTGGCCTTCCTGACCACGTCCCCACACTGCCGGCCCATGTTCATTTTGGCATCATGAATGATTCCAAGATCCTTTTCTGCTATTCAGCCTCTGCACTGATGAGAAGGGAGTTCCCCAGCCTGTAGGTATGCTGCTGGTTCTTCCTCCCCAGGTGCAGCACCTTGCACTTGTCAGTGTTGAAACCCATCCTTTTCTCATCTGCCCACCCTTTTTGTCTCAAAGTAGAATGGAGCTAGTATATAGTTTACCCTGTATACTGTACTTAGTCTCCAGATAAAGGGAAAATAGAAAAAGATAACATTGAGCAACATTGCTAAACTGAGCTGCAAGGTCAAGGTGTCAAATGCTTCACATCATTGTCTTAAGTCATCACAGTGCAGTATTTTTCCATGAGAACAAAGTCAATTAGGTTATCTATAGGAGAGACTGAAAACACTGTTAGAACTCTACAAGCAGTGTGGCAGTGCACCTTCAGCTGCTTGCCATTTTAAGGGTTGAGGCAGGCAGCTGGCAGGTGCCTCATTAGGGACGCCAGTTTAGGACACGGTTTATACAGATGGAGGCAGCAGTTAGCTGATGTTTCTTTCATGGCTACTGGCAGCAATGCCTCAGGAACATCCTGGGGGCAAGGGCAGGAACTACTGGGATGGCATGGAGGCTCCTTTGGTCTTGGGCATGACCTAAAACTGCACCCTGCCAGGGTAGGGAGGCCTGGTGGGACTGCCTGTGGTGGGGCAGGCTCAACTAAATGCCAGGATGGCCAATTTCCCTGGTGAAAGGTGGGTAGGGGCACCTTAACCCTGCCCCATCTGATGGGTAATCGTGAGAGCTGTGGGAGTAGTGGAGCCAGGTATGCTCATGGACACCAGAGCCTGGCAGGGATGCAAGATCCTGGAGGCCATAGAGGGGGAAGTTGGTGACCATGGTGTGAGGCCCCTCACAGAGTAGGGCTGAATGGGGAGTAAGCCTGAAGGCCAGCCCCATGAGTAGCTAGTTATAAGTATAATGAGGAGACCCCAGGGTGGGGCAGGGTGTAAAGTTGGCCAGTGAGGAGGTTGGGGTAAAAGCAGCCCAGTGTTGGTTTAAGGCTACATCACAGAGTAGGAAAACTTGTGGGAACTGAAGCTGCTGCATGGTGGTACCAGGGACAGAGTAGCTAAGCCTGAAAGCCCACAAGGGGTTGCTCAAGAGGAGCTAGGGCAGTGGAGCGTGGCCCGGAATGGGCAAGTATGCAAGAGGCCCCCTGTGAGAAAGGGGGCTGAGAGACAGAGACAAAGACAATGGAGCCCAATTATGGACTTAGTTTGCCCTGGCCTCAGGCTGGGGGAAGTAATCATAATCTGGATGCCATCTGCGAGGCATGGGCCACGGTGTAAAGCAGGTTTGGAGCTGCGGATAGTGCCCCTCGGCATCGGGGCAAGGAATGGGCAGCCTCCCACTTAATAAATCAAGTTAACAACCAAAGTTGTGGCAGGGGAGACGGGGAAGACTGCCCAAGGCAGGGGGGCTGGCTGCTTTGGGATCTAGCCATGAAGTTGCCCCCCCTATCATACAGTGTTTTGTGTTCAGGCTATATTATTTTCTTTCTGCTGGAGATTTTCACATACCATTTTTTAGAATATACAGGACAAGTTTTTAATTCTGAAAAATATGTATTTCTAAACAAACCAATTGTGCACATGTGGTTATCATAAATATCTGGTTATCAAGAGGTTACTTTTTGGATAGAAAGGGAAGAGGAGTTTGAGAAGGAGTAAAATAAAGAGCCTGGATGTGCAAGTCCAAATGCACTCAGAGGAAAAAACAAAACAAAACAAAACAAACAATGCACACTTTTTTGCCAGAGTGTTTCCTATAAGTGGGCTGGTCTGTGTTGCTCCTGTGTTACTAGACAAGACGGGCCTTTCAGGAGAATTCCTATCCTACCTCCAACTATATCCATTTTCATCCTAGACCAAATGGCTTTGTTGGACTTGCTGGCTACTGAGCAAACCCAACTTGGAATCAGGGCTTCTTGCCCTCCTGATGGAAGGGCTGAATAAGAAAAGCTACTGCTGGCTTGGACAGTCATGTGAACTTCAGCTGAGGGAGCTAGAACAAGAGGCTTGAATGCCTCAGGCAGCTGCTAGCACCTTCCTAAGACTAATTCCAGACTGGGCTCAGCAGAAACCAGAAGTCTGAGAAATGAAGCAAAGAACAGAACCTGAAATAGCCTGGCTAACAGTGGCTGAAAAAAACAACCAAAAAAAGCTTTAAAAATAGAGAAAGCTAAAAGAGTTAAGAGGGGCTCAAATAATCTGAGGTGAGAGAATTGACAGCTAAGGGTGAACGACTTCTTAAGGAGACTCCTGGAAAGGATAGGAGAACTAGGTACAAGTAACAGAGTGAGGGTATTTGAGTCTCTAACTTCTCAGAGTTATTAGTTTGCTAGTCTTTTTTTTTTTTTTTTTTTTTTTTTTTTTTTAAATAAAATATCATTTCTAGGTCAAGGTAAAAAGTTCAAGTTTCAACTGAGCAGAGCTCAAATCATTCAAGTCTGTGTGGTGCTACCACCAGCAAGTATCCTACCTTCCAGACAGTCTGGGGCTTCAGATACTCCCAAATCCATGGCAGGCATCCTGCATGCAGGCCCCAAGCACAGAGGCCTTGGAGTTCAGAGGGCCCCCACAACCTCACTTGGCCTTTTAGCTTGCTAATCCTCTTTGCAGCACAGCCAGTTTCTGCTGGAGGGCAGGAACCCAGCTGTAGCAAGCAACAGGCAGCAACATTAAAGTAAGAGAGAGCTTGGCTAGTATGATGAGTTTCCAACAAAAAGCGGGGGGGGAATAAAGAAGACCTGTAAGGAATGATAGACGAGGGAGAAAGATTAAGAGCAACCTTTTAGGACAAAGGAAGACGATCAAAGTGAAAAAAAAAAACCAAGGGCATTTCAATATGTTTATTCAATTGTTTCAAGGTTTGGGCTCCTTTATTCTACTTAAAAGGAATACCAGAGCTACAACCAGAAGAGGAGGCTTAAAACATAGCTGTTATGTATCTTTAAAATCTACTTTCCTATATATTGCCAGGAAAGAGACTTCCCGGAAGAGTAGGTGTATTGGTAGTTGTAAGTAGTTTGGGCAGGGGAAAGGTAAGAAGGGAACATATGCCATCAGTATTGACAGTCCTTTTAAATTAAGGCTAGGTTTCTAGTCATTCTGGTAGCCAAGTTAGCTTTCTGAATGCAAGTCATTCCCAAGTCTGAAGCTAAACAGATCTTGTATCTCTACAGTCTATACAAGTTTTCCCAAGCTATGTATGGCAAGGGGTGAGGGAAAGAGAAAGGAGGGAGGACAAGATTCATCATTCTCCACTTCTGCTTATTTATTTGGCAAAGAGAACCTAAGAAGAATCACAATATTCACTTTGCTAAAGAATAACTTCAGGATCTGCCCTTGTCAAACTATGGCAAGGAAGACCCCCTAAACAAGGGGGTAGAATACTAGCAGAAGTAGGCTGCTTTGGCTCAGCAATGGGATAAACAGAAGACTGAAGGCTCCTCTCCATTCAGCAGCCAAAGGAAGCAATGTGGAGGCACTGAAACAGGTAACTGACTGGACAGAAATCAACACAAAACAAGTATCCCTCTGCAGAGCCTGCACACCTCACTCTGCCTAATAATTTTCACACTGCTGTCTCAATATGAAACACTGAATAGTAGGCTCCTTGTGAAGTTTTCAAGCCCAGTACTGTTAGACCCATGGCACAAAGACACAGAGCAAAAATATAAAATGGACTAAATTATATGCTCTATATGCAAAAATGGAAAGCTATCTAGTTTCAGTTATTAGTAGAGCTGCATATTAGATGCTGTATGTGGGTTGTTTTTTTACTCCCCTTCTTTTGTAGCATACAAACTCAAAAGTTAATTAATTTCATTTCATGTTTCTTTGCTATCCATCCTTCTTTGGTATTAGGAAATAAACAAAAACAACAAACAAAAAACAACAAACCAAACAACAACCCTCCAAAAAAACAAAAAAACCCCCAACCAACCAGAGTCAATTATTTAATAAAAATTGGCCAAACCACTCATCTATCCATTGCAAGCCATGCTGCTAATCTGTGCGATATCTGGTACCAGTGAAAGCAATAGCAGCCAAAAGAAAACCAGTTTCAACAATCCTTCCTAGTCTCCAACCCCCCCCCCCCCCCCCACCCCCCCCCCCCCCCCCCCCCAAAAAAAAAAAAAAAACCAAACAAAAAACAACAACAACAAAACCCAAGTACACAAGCTGGTGTGTGGAAGTGTTTGTTCAGTTAGTGAAATAAAAAATAATTTGATTTTATAAATGGGTTTTGAATAAATTTTGGATAATTGAGTCTCTATTATAAATTCCATTTGTGGTTATAGTTCAGCATCTTTGATGTCTATATAAAACAGAACAGGAGAAGCACTTTATACTGGCAAAAGGAGTTCTGCCTCTCTTTTTGGGATAAGTAATTCTTCTATAGAAGGACAGCATTAAATCCATTCATTTTTTTCTGATATATAGGACTTTTACATTCTGCACAACTCATCCTAAATGCACAAGTGTGTATGTGTGGCGTATGTGCCAACAGAGCAGGGGGGCTGGACCCAATGATCTCATGAGGTCCCTTCCAGTCCTAAAACTTCTGTGAATCTGTGAACAGTTAAGCCCCTTCTCTGAAAGATAAAACACTTTTCTAGCAAAGAAGAACTTTAGCCAGGTAAAGCAACATCTAGACTGGGGTTTTACCAGTATAGATATCTTTAAGAGTACTTAAAAAAAAGCATCATGTGACTTACTAGACAGCTATGCCAACAGTACAGACCTGGCATTGCAGCAGCATAATAGGTAAGAAGGTACTTTGAATGACATAAATGAACTGCTGACGATTAAGTTTCCCCAATTTCCACAGATATATTCTTTGGATGTTGCTTAAGATCACTCCAACTGAAAAGGGCAAGAGGCTATCCAAAGAGAATTCTGTGACAGCATTATCATGACCACCTGCCTGCACACTGTTTGCCTGCACTGCAAAAACTTGACTTGTGACTGGCATTTTGAAACCCATGTGGGCATTAAAACTAAACACTAGGAAACATGCAAATCTATACCTAGAAGATAATTACCCTGAAAGGGATATTACATATTTACTTTCCAGCGTGCGTTTCACTGGAGAAGAGCGATAGTGATGGGAGGGGTGGGAAGCGGGAGAAGGCCCAGGTCAGCTGCTTCACCACAACATCCTTCTTCAACTATAAAGGATTTGACTTTATAAACAGGCTTTCAGAGAGTAAGAATGCTAGTGACAAGTGCCACTATCATTTACTAGTTAGACTGCTGTCCCTATACCGTGCTCATTTCAGATCACAGACTCTTTCACATCAAACTCAAAAGCTTTGCAAAATATGACATTTTCTCCAGCGATATTACCTGCAGCTCCAGCTGTAAGGTCAATAGCAGCCTGAATAGCAGGATTTGTCCTCATGTTTCTCACTTGCTAATTGGTTGCCAAGGAATGAGAAATTCACAGTCACAAAGTGTCAAGACACATATACCTATGTAGGGGAAAAAAATGCATTAAAATGATGGTGATTCTTGTAGCCAATGTCACATATGCCAGATAAATTACTTTCATGATGTATTAATTACTTTCATACATCAATACACACTTCAATTTCTGTTCATGCCCCACCCCCTTTTTATTGATAACTTTTCTTAAATTAAATAAATACATACATACATAAATAAAAGGGTCAGGCTAGACTTGGACTGCCCTTCTTTGCCCTTACCAGGTGATCCGGGGCAAGTCACCTAGTCTCTTTCCCCTCTCGAAAGAAAGGAACATAGTACTTCTTTACTTCATGAGGAAAAGATGGAATAGGAGAATTACACTAAAGATCATAAGCAGCTCAGATGCAATATTAGGGCCCATATAAATTCCTAAGGTAAACAACAGTATCCATTCCAAAGACTGCTGAAAAATCAAAAGAAAATACCTGGAAGCAATTGTGCTTGTCCTTTGTTCCCAATGGAGGTCTCTTTAAAGGAAGCCCTGCGTTCAGCAACTTTTTGTAAAGTGAAAGTCAGGCTTTCCCTCTGCCTCTCAAGAAAGAAGCTAGCACAATAAATAGCCTTCAAGGGGCAAAGTTTTCAAATAAAACACGCAACACAAGTCTCCATGTTAGTGCAAAGGTTATTCCAAGAATTAAAAAAGACAAATTTGTTTTGCGCTAACCAGCTTGTTAGAAATTCAGAAAGTTTGTGGCTGCTGATGCTACCAAACATCCAATGTCTTTTTTTAAATACTAGAGGCTAGAGAGTGAAAACTCTTTCTTCCTTACATTATGTTTCAGCATGTTTTCAAGTAGAAGGGGAGATGTTTATAAGGGTGAAAATCCTCCTCAGTTCTGAGCAAACTACTTAAAATCTGAAGCATTCGGGGGGACAAACTAGTCAGATAAGCAGGAAGCAAGGGAGAAAAGCAATTCATACTGCAAATAAAAAGATTCTGCTCAAGGAGATGTACCACATCCCTTGCAGAGTTCTTGGGTTATGGATACAAATCTGTGCTGATAACCTGAGAACCAGAATCTCAGCTTAAAAAAAAAAAAATCCCTAATTTTTGGACACAAAAAAAGTAACCCAAAAATCCATCTGTTTCCATGATTAAAATGAAACTCCACTATGTAAGGTTAAGTTAAACTTAAATTATCCTACAATTAAAATGTCATTACAGTTCACGCAGTATTTTGCAATTTTGATCTGGGAATATAAGTAGAGGAAGGAATCAATGAATAAAAACGGTCTCCAAATGACAGAAGTCATTATGAAGAAACAGGTCCCTCTCCGCAGCAGAGCCAATTATGAACACTCAGTAAGCTAAAAATGGACTATATGCCATCTTCCATACTAACTATCAGATATTCATTGAGGAGTTGACAAACTAAGGGAAACAAAAGGAAATGTTTTCAAAGAAAAGTATGTTTGGCTAGGAATTTAAGTGCCATGCCTTGGCTAACACAGATACCCTACTACACTGCTAGCTTAAAGAGGAAGTACTGAAACTAAAATTAAGCCACCAATGCATATACTCCTTCCTAGGTTTCTTTCTATTTGACCGGTGTTTGACAGATCTATAGGTTTTCTGCAGGCACTGGCTACTTGGGTAATTAAACTGCAAATCCAAACCAGACAAGGAGTCACCTCTGTAATTATGAGGAAATATTTGGCAAGTCTAATACTAGCATCAAGTGCCTTCCATCTTGAAAGAAGTTTCTTCCATCTCTACGATTATACCTCAATTTACAGAGATAGGCAATAGCCACTCTTTTTGAGAGAGAGGCAGGACATAACCCTGGACTTCCTTGAGGTCACAACAAGGCAGCACAAAAAGGATTACAACGTAGGAGTCACGAAGGTGTCTCTTACACGTCATGCCAACACGAAGAAATAACGTCTTGCATTCGAAAACTTGTCTAATGCTATCCCAACTACATTGCTGGTTCAATAAAAGATATTGTCCTAAGAAATCCTTGCCTCTTGCACAGCACTGTACCTAGGTCCCAGGCAAACTTTTATTAACATCGGGCCCCCCCCCTTCACCAGAGATAATGATGATACTAATAAAAATAAATAACCATTTTTGGGCCCCTTTTCTGTTCAGGCCCTGGACAGCCACCCAGTTTGCCTATGCCTGTGTCCGGCCCTGTTTTTGCAACATGAGCAAAGCTACCCTTGCCCATGCCAGAACCCAGGCTTTGGGAAAAGCAGACTCAAAACCATGAGGCTGCCCTACTGCTTTGGCTATGGTGGGGGAGCGTTATAGAAAGGTAACCGAGGGGAAAACGCCCCCCCCCAAACCCCAATCAATCTCCAGAGCTGGAGACACACGGGAAAGGAGAGGAGCTGTACCAGGTGACAGCTGGCAGGCGGTTCCCTTACTTGGTTCTGCACGGGTGCCCAAGCATCACCTCAGAGCCACCTCAAATCAGCAAATGCTCGCACCAAGCGCTGAGAAAGCCACAACCCCAACCGTGTGGCAGCCTGCTCAGAGGCAAGCGCCAGGCCCTTTTAAGTGAAGAGGGGAGGACCTGGCCTGCAGCCTGCTCTGCCCTGTGGGAAGCCCCGCGAGGTCTGCGGCTCAAGGACGGGACCCTTCAGTCACCTCAAGACCCATCAAGGAGCTCTGGGGGAGCCCATCCCCCAGGAAAGGCCTCTCCAGGGCATCACAGGACCCCAACAGCTCCCCCAGTCCCACCCCTGCTCCGAGCTGGAGCATCCCCGGCTGCGTCCTCCCCGGCC